AATAATTGCAAAGTAGGAGGGTGTAGGGGAAAGAGTGGATTAGTTTTACTAAGTACAGAGCATGTAATTACTAAGTACAGAGCATGTAATTCCAACAGAGGACTGCTACTCAGCCCTATCTGTGAGGTTATGGCCAGGCTTCAAGTTCTATTATCACCTGAGAGTAACTGCTAAAAATGCCCCTATTCCCTAAGACGCAGCATGGACTCCTGAGGGTATGTGACTATACAAAAATCTTCACTATACAGAAGTCCCTGACATCCTTCCTATGGTTCAACTTGCAATTTTTCAATCTTATGATGGTGCGAAATCATCACCATTTTTATCTTTTCCTGAGCTAGTGATATGCGGTACATGAGATATTCAACACTTTGTTGTAAAATAGGCTCTGTTAGATGAATTTGCCTGACTATGTAAGTATTTTAAGCACACCGAAGGTAGGCTAGGCTAAGCTATGATGTTCCGTAAGTTAGGTACATTAAATGGACTTCCAACTTATGATCTTTTCAACTTACAATGGGTTTATCGGGATGTAACCCAATCGTAAATAAAGGAGCATCTGTATTTCCAAGACTCCCTGTCTTCTCGCCGAAGGCAAGGGAGACTTACCCCCTTTACCTCCAGTTCAGAGCCTCTGCCCAAGGCTTCCCTATTATTTATTCTGCATACTACCTAGTCACTTTGCATGAACACAGGCAGAAGTGTACTGGGCTTTTCTCTTTCAAAATATTTTAAGCAATTTTAACACTAGAGAAGATGCCCTTCGATATAATTTTGCTTTTGGTCTTGCCATCTTTGTCGAAGGAAAGAGGATTCCAGGCCAGATCTGCTGTTTAGGAAAATAATGATTGTCTAAAACATTCCTGGTTTTGTATGTACCAGCCCTCACCCTTAGCGAAGAAGGGTGTACAGCAATATCCTAAAGTCTAAGATCTCTTTTTCCTTTAGAACTTTTATCAACCTCCGTAGTAACATTCTCCTAATTATCACAAACTACCTGATAATGTGCTTTACTTGAAGCTCCAAACCAACCAACCAACTAACCAACCCCAAAAGGCTATTACACTTTAAAACATGAAAGGAGGGGCCGGCCCGTGGCTCACTCGGAAGAGTGTGGTGCTGTTAACACCAGGGCCACAGGTTCGGATCCTATATAGGGATGACCAGTTGGCTCACTGGCTGAGCATGGTGCTGACACCACCAAGCCAAGGGTTAAGAACCCCTTACTGGTCATCTTTAAAAAAAAAAAAACCAACAAAAAAAAACATGAAAGGAGACTCAGAAGGGAATTGCTTTTACCTCCACATGTATAATTATCTTTCTGATTACAGGGAAGTTACACCCTCTTTGAACTTTATTCCCAACCCATACTAAAGGGAAGAAGGGGTCAGTTGGACCCAGAAGGCCCTTCCCCTGTGAAAATTACCTTGCAGAAAAATGACTGTCAATCATGAAAATCATTAAAGGCTCTGAGGTGTCTATCTCTTGGAATTCCTTTTACTATTCCTTTTCTTCTAGGTGCAGAAGAGTCTGTCTTTGTGCTAGGTTTTAGGTTACTTGGGGGCATTATTTATATGTATCACGATAATGTGATTTTAGTCTATCTGTCTCAGAGTGGTGATGAAGTTTGCTTAAAGCCATCTATGGAAGTAAAATAATGGATCCAGACTCCTTACCATGCCCCACGTTACGTGACTTGCCCAGGGCAGGCATCTGCACTATTCACTCATCATCCAACATCTACATGCTCCCTCTTGCACAGAGAGGTCTGTCAAGTTCCCTCTCTGCGTGGGCTCACACACAACTGCAGTACCACAAGGTAAACGTTACAGAGGAGATTTGAAGAGTGGGGGCTGTGGGAGACTAGTGCCCAGAGCAACCCACTCTGCTGGTGGAGAGGAGGGGATGGGGATGTAAGCATGTGTATATGTACGTGGAGCTACCGTATCCTAAGCTCTTACTCCTTGCAAAGCACTTTCACGCATGAGCCCTGGAATCCCAACTACCTTTTGAGGCAGAAACTACTTTTTTTTTTTTTTTGCAGGTGGCCAGTTCAGGGTTCTGAAGGAAACTACTTTTATTCCAATGATATAGATAAGGAATCTGAGGCACTGAGATGTCAGGTGAGTGCCCCCAGTCACACAGCTTGTAAGCAGTAGAGCAGGGAGCTGAGCCACTGGTTTGAAGAACTGCAGTTCCTAGGCTTTTGTCTACTGGGCTGCCTTCAGGGATTAGGGGTGGGGTTGTGGGGTGGTGGGGTGGTGCAGATAGTACGTTTAGCTTCAGTATGGGCACTTAACTCAAAATGCCTGGGAACGTAAGAAAGTGAGCATGCAAAAAAAATCCCCCCCCCCCTTTCAGTCATTTCTAACCCTTTTTAGGTCGCTTCAATAAAATTTGCAAATAACTGCCATGTGGAGAAGATATGCAAATAACTGCTTAATGTAAATGTCATTTGGAGTGCCGTGAAAGTTGGCTTATTTAACGGCCTCAAGTGTGCACATCATTCTTTTTCAGAGTAATGTGTTTGGAGACAAAGCTTTGTATGTCTCCACACTTCCTCTCCAATTTGATATTCCAATTATAACATATTAACAAAATACCCTGGTGGTTTGGACTGAGTATGCCTATGAGCAGGGGTTAATTGAAAGTAGGAAACTGCTGTATATTTTAATTCTTTTAGGTACTCCCATGGTAGTACCCTGTACACTGGCTCTACTCAAAACAAGGCCCAGAACTAGGGTAGTCAGTACATCCTATTGCTGCTATATAGCAGTCTGAAGAGCTGTCAAACTCACAACTTTTGAATCTCAAACTTATGTTTACCCTCGTCTATAGGAAAAGGAAACTGAAGCAAAACCAAGAACATACCTCATCAATGCTCCATGAGAATCCGTGAATCTCAGAGCAGGAAGGGATCCTAATGATCATTAAGCCTAGTAGTTCTCAAAGGGGCATTGTGGAAATCTGTGTATTTTTGGTTGTCACAATAACTGGCAAGGGCTATTGGTATTTAGTCAGCAGAAGGCAGGCATGCTAGATGTTCTACCATGCTGGTCAGTTCCATACAGCGAAGAATTGATCCATTGGACACTCATTTAGGTGAAAAACTAGCTCATCATTATCTAAGCCTAGAACTAACACTATTTTACATATAAACACAAAATATTTTTGTCCAGTTTCCACATACACTGAATTTTCCACGAATGTAACTACTGTTCCAATTGAAGGAAGATGAGACTGTTTTGTTTCAAGTGTTATTAAGAATTCACAATTTTGGAAAATGAGGTCACCAATGGCAACACTGCTTGTGGTACTTGAGTTGTGAAAACACCTTTCCAGCTTGTATCTATCATCAGTGTAGTTGTGAGGGATCATTTACATATTAAAATACACATTGTTTTATTATAATCATTTTACTTTTTTTTCATATTACAGTTAGGTCATGTTTTTAAAAATTGTGTGTTGGTGGGTTTAAGTTATATTATCTGTAACTTGTTATTTCACTGTGGTAAAAGGAGGCGTTACAAAATATTTGTTATAAAAAGGAATTGGGTCTTTTATATGATTATGTAGTCTAGCCGACTCCTTGTATAGACGAGGACACTGGGCACCAAAGCCGTTAAGCAACTTGCCCTGGTCAGAGTGTTATATTATCTCCCTATTTTGTTCCAATTTGTCTTAATTTTAAAAATTGGAAAAGGAGAGAAGTTATGCGTGTGGTAAATTGTGATGAGAACGTGCTATTCGGATTCTGGCAGCAGAAGACGCTTTGGGGGATGGTGGAAAACCCTGCGTATTTAATTCTGTCAGGCGGAGGTCAGAAGGGAGAAAGCGTTTATTAGAACCACGTATGTGCCGCCGCTCATCTAAAGCCGGGAATCCACTGGTCAACACATTTTCTTCTGTTTAAGGGCCCGTGGGACTGAAGCTGGGACTAGGGGTGGCCCGCGGGGGCCACCAAGAAAAGGTTCCTGCAACAGTAGAAACCCGTTTCCTCCCATTCCCCATCCATCGCAGCAGCATGAGGGTCACCCCGAGCCCGGGCCCATAGTCCCGTCGCAGCGCCTCCTGCAGACCCAGAGTGCACCCGGCCACAAATATCCCCGACTCCCTCGGGCCCTAGGAGAGCCGTTCGCAACCCCCAGGGTCCCCGCAGCGCCGGTGGCCATGGGCCCCGTGCTGCTGGGCGCCCCGCGGGAGGAAACTAGGGGCCTAACGTAACCGGCAATGCGGCGGAGGGCCGGGGTCCCAGGAGGGCGCGTTAGCGCCGGCTCAAGATCAGCGCGTGATCGTCCCATTGTTCCTTCACCGTGGGAGGCGGGGACGCGCGCGCTCGCGTCAGGGGCTGGAGTGGCAGGGGCCTTTGGGTTTCTAGGCGGTGACCACCGCTGCTCAGGCAACCGCGCAGGGACGCGTCAGACCACCAGCGGACGCCTCCAGTTTCCCCCTACTCCCGCCCCGGGAACCATCCCGTCCTCCTCCCTCCTCCTTTCCCCCCCCCTCCACTTTCCCCTTTTCCCTCCTCCTCCTCCCCATTTCTCCCCCCTCCACTTCCCCCTCTTCCCTCCTCTTCCTCTCCCCTCCCCCATTCCGACCATTCTATTCAAGCCACGGTTTCCCGATCTACAAAATGGCCCCCGCGTTCGACACCTGCGGTCACGTGACCTGCCGCCCTTTCGGTTTCGGGTCTCTCTCTGCCTAATTTCGATTTCGGGGAGGCTGTACACTGAAGAGCGAGGGCTGATTAGACTGGAGAAATTTCACATCTCCAAGCCCAGGGACCGAGAGAGAATAGAGGAGAGTTAGAGCTCTAGAAAGGGAAGGAGAAACTGGGTGCATAGGGGAGGAAAGGAGAGCAAAGAGGCCCAGGTTAAATTCTCAAGCTTGTGGCTGAGGGAAAACAGGAGACAACAAGTTCTCGCGAGATCTCGAGAACTCTAAGCCTGAGACTAGGTTATTATCGGAAACCAGGGAAATGGAGGAACGAGCGAACTAGCACAGCATTTGGCTCTCTGAGCTCCGAGGCAGGACGACGAGGGGCGACGGGCCTGAATAGGAAGTCCCGCGAGGTTAGGCCAAGAGAGCGTGCAGTAGCCGGGCAGAAGTCCCAGGGGCGGGGGGAGTGTGGGAGTGAGAGGGAGGGCACACGTCTTACGTGCTGACGTAGCAGTCTTGCGAGTGAGTATATTAGACCCGTGGCCGCGCCGGGCGCTCCAGAGCCGCAGTTCTCCCGTGAGAGGGTCTTTGCGGTGAACTAAACACACTCGCTCAGCAGCGGAAGACTCCGAGTTCTCGGTACTCTTCAGGGATGAGTCATGTGGCGGTGGAAAATGCGCTCGGGCTGGACCAGCAGGTGAGCTGACAGAAGCCAACCGGGGTGGCTGCCGCATGAGTCCCTCCCCTGACCTAACCTGGCTTATGGCGCAGTGCTAACTGGCACCCTTAGTTTCCATTTTCTGGGTACCTTGGGCTGGCGAGTGTCAGTGCCCCGGAGCTATGGAGGGATGGGGAGGCGGCAGGAATGCTGGTTGTGGCTGTAACTCCAGCCCAGACTCCGGCCTGGCCCCGCGGTATTGTCCCCGGGCCGAGCACAATGGCGGCTTTTGTGTGTGCTTGCGCAGACGGGCGGAGGGGGAGGGGTTGCTCATTCTCTCACGGGGACGCGCACGCGCGAACCCCGACTGATTAGTGACCCATGGTGGGTGGAGGGAGTGCGCAGCGCGGCGCTACGCCAATGGGGACCCTTTTGGCCTCGGGGGCTTCGGCCCTCCCTCCTCGCCCGCCGGGACTCCAGTCACGGAGACCCGGCTGCGTCCGGTGTTCCTGTGCTTGCGAGCGGGAGGAACGCGTCCCTGGAATGTGGGAGGGGGCGGCGCGGGGGGTGGGTGGCCTTCGCTCCGGGTAATGGCGGCGCCCTCCTTTGTGTGGTGCTGGGTGGCTGGGCGGCGCTGTGGCCCACTACTGGGAGAGGTCGGGCCAGCGGGCCCCGGGCCGGCCAGGGCCTGGAAAGGAGGGAGGGAATGGGCATCTTTTTCCGACCGGGCTTCCTTCCCCAGGCCCTTTCTCTTCAGCCTCGTTTCCGCAGGGTCGTCGCAGGCTCTGCGCCGCGGCCGGCGAGGCCGCGTTTCCGGAGTGGAAAGTTTTGTGACGCAGAAGATTCGGGGAAGGGGGGGGGGTAGGGGAGGGAGTATAGGGCCGCTGCGTGCGCGGTGGCGCTGGGCTCTAGAGACGGAGGTGGTAGTCACTGACGATTTAGCCAAGGGCTGCGCGTTGTTTTTTGCGGATGGGGTGCCGTGAATTGTGTGATGTCGTTATCTTAGCGACGTTTGATCCAGGGATGCGCCAGAGGAAAAATACCCGGAATGTGGCTTTGAGGGAAATAAACAGTTTTGTGGTTGACTTGTTGCTGCCTATGGAGTAAAATTTTGGAATAGGTCCCGGGTCTGTTGTCTTTACTGGAATACTCTCTTCTAAGGGTTTGGGAGCAAAGGAGAGGAGGACGAGTGATCTGAGAGCAGGGCGTTATGGGCTTTGGTGGCAGGAAGTCTGCATCCCTCTGCAACAGTGGTACCAGGCTTCAGATAAGCTCTTTTGTAGGGTGTTCGGAGCCTTTAAATAAACTTCTGCCTATTGTGATTAGAAGGGAAGTTGATTTCACGAACTCCAGAATAATCCTGAAACGAAGCTTAGTGACACAACTTAATTGGTTATAGATTTTAATGTAGTCATATGTAATATATTTTTAGGGATGTAATGATCTGTTCTTTTGGGAGCATGTATTTCCCCGTTAAAAAACCAGTTATACTAAGTCGTTCATATTACTGACACTTCATAATGTTGAGTGGAGCATTGACGTAAAAAAAAATAGCACAGGCTATCCCCAGTTTTAACATTTTCATATGTTAAAGATTTAAAGATTCTAGGCAGGAATGAACCTTATTGAAATTTGTAATCGGTTTAACTCGAAAAATGAAGCATTCAGGGTCGTTTAGACTTAAGAATCTGCACAAAGCAAATTCACAACGGAGAGAATTGCGGCAATGTAGTCCTAGCAATTTATAGAAACATTTAAAGTTGTTTTTTAGTTCCTGTTGCCATAGTGTAAAATTAAAAACAAAACTTGTACTGTAATAAGTGCAAGAAGAAAGTTTGTGCTCCTGTTGTGCTTTAAAGTGTCAGGGAGAAAGCATAGCAGCGTTTTTGCCAGTAGAAATTCTGAAAATGAGGTGCCTAAAGTCTTACCATATTCTTTGTATTTTTAAGGCATAACACCTGCTTCCAATTTTCAGTGGCTCCTTTGATGCTTGCAGTTCGGCAGTATCATGTTTAGCTTTTAACACAGGATTTATAAACATGTTATGGTATAGCATATCTCTTTTGCAAACAGGTGGCAACAATACTGTGTGACTTGGTCTTTTGTGGCTTTTCGAAAAAAAAAATGGTTTTTTGCATGCGTAGTCCCGCCCCCCCCCCCGCCATGATTGGCACTAAATTGAATCCTTTATCTGACATTTTAAAATAATTTAAATTTGAGATTTAGCATAATAAAGTTTCAGTTTAGTGATTTAGGGAGATTTTACTGTGGGAAATGTTACAGGGAAAATTGATTTTGATTGAATGAGTTAAATTTGGGCCCAGTTTCTAGTGGATAGCACCAGTATCTTGGTGTGCTGCCTTCTGCAGTACATACAGTTGTACTATTTTGCATTGTCTTCAAAACATTCTTAGTCACATTCTCATTAACAGCTTTTATATTAGCCCTGTGTGGTAGGCAGGGCAACTATTTGAATGTGGTGCTAGTAAACTAGAGGGTGGGACTAGTTTTCACTTAGTATAAGGTGCTAACCATCTAACTCTCTTCCAGTTTGCTGGCCTAGACCTGAACTCTTCAGATAATCAGAGTGGAGGAAGTACAGCCAGCAGTAAGTAAAACATTTTATGGATTTATTGAATATCTTAATATCTCATTGGACTTATTTAAAATTTAAGAATTTGCCCTCTAATTTTTACCATGTTAAGAATTAATGTAGATGTAGTGTTATGTAGAATTAATGTGGTACTTAGTGACCAGTCTCTAAAGCATTGTGGCCTTTTCGACAATAAAAGGGACTAGTTGGTTCTCTTGAGTAAAAACAGCTAACCATTAAAAAGAACCTTGTACAATACACAATTTATCTTTAGAAGAGTTTGATTATGTGCATTATGAATCCTGAGCTCAATTGAGAGGTAGCGGGGATGTGTCCATCCCTTTAGAGTGGGTTTACTAGAATCAAACTCAGTTAAAGGGAACATGCACTTTCATCAGCTATAGCTACTCCTTTCTCCCCAAGAACATGAGATTTACCAATAGTACAAGGCTATACTGAATTTTGGGGTGGTGGTTAAGATTTTAAATTACGTATTTAAAAGTTGTTTGTTTCAAGAGGGGTTATTTGGAGACTTGTTAGAGGTTAGTATTAAGGTAGGGGATCTTGATAGTTTATTATTTGGCAGTGGACCTCTGCTTCAGCTCAGGTCTCTTGCCACCTATTAAAACAAAACAAAAGAACGGGGGGTATAGGCTGTTCTCATTTTTAGGCTAGAAGGGCCTCACTGGGCACAAAATTACTTGGTGTTTGCTTTCAATTTCACCTTATTTGCCATGCTAAGAATCTTTTAGGAATTGATTATTCTAGTACAGATCTTTTTAATATTTAATTTAATTCATAAGTAAAAAGTTAAAATGTAGATTTGCTAATATTAAAGCAAATTTGCATTACTTTACTTGGGTATCCATTATTTGGTTTTGCTTCTCATCCATAGTCTAAACTGTATTCCTGCTTGCATGCAGAACAACAGTTGACTTTCCTTAAACTCACCAAGCCCGAAATTAAAATATCCAATTCCTTGAAATCCGCTCCCCTTTGCAGCTTTTCCATGTATATTTATTGTGTTTTGGAACTTACCACATAAAAACAAATAAACCTCTTAGTGGCTAATTGTGTGATTTGTTCCATAGTAGTCTTTTAGGTTGGTACAGCAATACTTAAATGTTGTAAGTGTTCTTGTTTATGTGACAGTTCTCTTAAAGCATAGCAGGCCTTTTAAAAAAAATTGTGTTAAATAACCACTAGTGGCTAGTTAAATGTATATGTGGATTTCAACTATTAGGTCCCAAGTCAAATTTTTGCTTACCAAGCTCTTTTTAGAAGTTCTCCTTAAGAAGCAATAACCTATTTAAAAGTAGAATCTTTTTTTGTAAGTAAACTGGAAGGCTAGAGATGTTTTTTTAAAAAAATGTATTCTAGGACCATTTTTTAATAGAAACTTTGGTAAAAGCTTTAGTGTGATGGGTTTGGCATTTAACTTTTTATTTCTTTTAGAAGGGCGCTATATCCCTCCTCATCTAAGAAACAGAGAAGCTACTAAAGGTAAGTTTTTGCAAGCAACTTTCTAATTCTAATTCTTGCTGCATTTAAAAGTTAGTTAAAGCCTGGGTAAAGTGAGGCAACTTGGGGAAGTCTGTAAACATTGTGCTCTTTTAGGTTTCTGTCAGGACAGGTTCAAGTATTAGGATTATTTCAAGGGTTCGGATCCCCATACCAGCCAGCCACCAAAAAAAAAAGACTTATTAACTTTGGAAAAACTTATCTAATGTCACACAGTGGGAAATTTTGCATCCCTGTGTCAGATTCTTCTGAGGCCATCGGCATGGTTTTGTACAGTTTTACTAGTGTTGTGCTTAATCTGTAGCATGGTTTCAAATTTTGTTTTAAAAATATGATTTCAGTTTGAAAAAGGTGGGTGCCCTGCTATGTAAACCAAATTGCATGGTGATAACCCAGTTATTTCTGTCTTTCAAAGGTGCCAAAATGAAGATGGGCTTATTGCAGGGTAGTTAATAGGTTATATAGCATTGGGCAGGCTCCCAGTAAGTTGAGAGTGATTCTCAGGTTTTATCTCCTTGCCTTAAATTGTTTCATTTGGAAGGTTTTGTCCGAAATGTATTACAACACTGAGTGTCTTTTCTCATTACATTTGTCATGTAGTGATAGATAAATAGTAGATGTTTCATATGGGACAACTGATTGGATGCTGTAATTCTGTAAAATAGATGATCTAAAGTTTAGAGGAAAAGGGATGGTCAGGAAAACTATTGAAAGGTCAGGAGGAGGGAAGATACTGGATAAAAAGACAGGATTGGGAGGGTGGAAAAGTCAACGGGAGCACATAGCTTCCTGTTGTTCCTCTGTCTCCATATGTAGTTTATATTAGCTTCACTGCCCTGGCAATGCATAGACATAAAATCTGTATTTCTCCCGGATCTCTTCATTATCATTCTTTTTAGGTGAAGTTGCTGCAGAGTTAGTCTTTACCATAATGGGAGTTCTCAGTGTTCCTTAGAATGTACTCGCTGGAACTGACCCTCATGTATATTTAGTGCTTTTTCCCCCCTTTGTTGCAGTGACAGGGATCAGAGAGGCAGTATCATAGAGGTTTTAGAGCTGGAAGAGATATAGAAATCTAACTCCACTCTATTGCTAGAAAAGGCTGTTGGTCACCTGGTTGGCTAATGGTAGAGATAGAAGGCAGAAAGAAAGTAACTTATCTTGTAAACTGTCTCTATTTAATAAGGTTTCACTAAAGCTGGTTAAACTCTACCTGTCTTTAAACCCTCTGTCCTTGAGCTAATTTACACCTTTGTCATCCTCTCTTACCTGAATGTTTATAGCTGTACCCAGGAACTTGTGCACACCAGTGTAGGGATCAGGGTTTCCTTTTTCCAGGCATTCCGTATTCTCATCAAGCTCATAGTAGATGAACTACTAAATAATATTATTTGACAGTAGTGTGCTTCATGTGTACCCAGCACTGTTCTTCTACTTTTTATTATTGAAACTGAAAAATGCTATATTAAGCTGAGTAATCTGACACTTTAAGAAGCATATTCTGAATGAATACACCTCTAAAAAAACATGGAAACAATGGTAACTGTTTCCCAGTGAACTCATTCACACCTATAAAATGAATAGAAATTAAGTCATGATGGTCATTCATTGTGTTATAGGCAAAGCTATTTTACCTCTTAGAGGTGTTATTCATTTAGAACATTTTTGGACAGATTGTTTGATTTAGTGTACGGTATTTTCTAGCGGAGAAAATTGAAGGTTTAAAAGTTTTGTGTGCTGGTATAAACCAACTCTAAATCTTCATTTTCTTCTGGTGCCATGATAGTAATACTTCCATTGGCCCTTGAGCCCACAGAGATAAGGTAGAGTCAGTGGAGGCCTTCAAATTCAGGAAGATTGGCAGTACCATACATAGCGTGGTTTCTATTTCTAATTAATTCAATGAAATGGGTTTGTGCTTTTTTTTTTATTGAAGGATTCTACGATAAAGATAGTACAGGGTGGAGTTCCAGTAAAGATAAGGATGCATATAGCAGTTTTGGGTCTCGTAGTGATTCAAGAGGGAAGTCTAGTTTCTTCAGTGATCGTGGAAGTGGATCAAGGGGAAGGTAAGTGATTTTTTGTCTTCTCACCTTATATGTTTACAATAGCAGTTTAGGAATTGGTCTTATAAATTGATAAGTCTTCATCCTGACCACCTATTTGGGTGTTAAGCATTGTCTGTTTAGTCATTGTAGTTTTTTAGCTGTAAGAGGTCTCTTTTCTGTGTAACAGGTTCAATTTAGTAATAAGATGAAAATATGAATATGCTTTTTGGCATAATGAAATTAGTTATTTTTCTGTTTCTCTAGTTTTATATATTCTATTTAAAAGAGTAAGTTCATCTAGTAAATGGCCTAATTTGGTTGAGATTTTTGTGGACTCTATGACAATTTTTTTAAACACCTTATATTTTTGATTATACAAGTGTGGTGAACTGACCCCATGTGCCTAATAGCTGTGGTTAGTCCTGTGTCCTGATTTTTCGCAAACAGGCCTAAAACTCTAAAAACATCTTAATTCAGGTAAGGATTATTTTCTACCTTTTATCCAAAATCTCACACAGGTGAATTGTCCTTTAAGTGACATTTTAGTATAACTTTAGGACAATTGATATTTGGTGTGCTATTCTTCTTTTGCCTATCACTAAATGTATTTGGATGGGCACTTTAAATGAAGGTGTGAGCTATGTGCCAATTTCAAATATATAAGACTTGATTCTTAATTTTGTCATATGTGAGGCCTGTTGAGGCTGTAAGACTTCTTAGAAATATAAAGAAGGATACTGATTTTAGAAAATGAAATTATGTAAATGATACATAAGATCTGTTTAATTAGAGAGCCTTACTTGTAAATAAGAATAAGCCAGAATTGGACCATTGACATCCTTGTTAGACATAATGAATGTCTCCAGGTACTGTTCTAGAGTAGTGCTAGGAATATAATAATGGTTAAATGATACAATTCTAATTAATTGCTTGCGCTATTAAGGTTTGATGATCGTGGACGGAGTGACTATGATGGCATTGGCAGTCGTGGTGACAGAAGTGGCTTTGGCAAATTTGAACGTGGTGGAAACAGTCGCTGGTGTGACAAATCAGATGAAGATGATTGGTCAAAACCACTCCCACCAAGTGAACGCTTGGAACAGTAAGTTTTTGAAATGGATGTTGGTTGTGATGAAGCCTTACTAGCTAGTATGACGAGTAAACTTACCAGTTCTTTGATTTTAGGGAGCTCTTTTCTGGAGGCAACACTGGGATTAACTTTGAGAAATATGATGACATTCCAGTTGAGGCAACAGGCAACAACTGTCCTCCACATATTGAAAGTGTAAGTATTTTTGCTTGACCTCTTAAGACACAAAGGGAAGTATAAATGTTTTCACAGCACATCAGAATGGGATGGGCTTCCTAGAGGCGTATGCAGACTAAACACCTTATAGGTTTGTGGAAAGAGAGAGGTTGAATTCAGTGTAACTATTATGAATAGTTCACTACCTGAAATAGAAAATGGGTCAAAACATAGGAGGAACCCAGAATCATCTCCAATATAGATTAAACATGGGTGTTGACTATTTTTCCTTCTCAGTGTAACATGATAGTTTTATTTAAAATTAAAGCCACTGTAAACTAAGTTACAAATTAGCTGTTCAGTTGGTTATTTCCATTATTGTATTTGTATAACACAGAAGTGGCTCCACATAGCATTTCCAGCTATTTAACCCTATTGAATTTCTTGACAGTTCAGTGATGTTGAGATGGGAGAAATTATCATGGGAAACATTGAGCTTACTCGTTATACTCGCCCAACTCCAGTGCAAAAGCATGCTATTCCTATTATCAAAGAGAAAAGAGACTTGATGGCTTGTGCCCAAACAGGTAAGCTCACTTGGTAAGAGTAAAACGTTGTTGCACTTTTTCTGTATATGTTTGGTGGGGTTTTGGGGGGGGGGTTATGTGGTCTCTGTTGCAACTACTCAGCTCTGCTGTTGTAGTGTGAAAGATGCCATAGACAATATGTAAATTATTGGGCATGGTTGTATTCCATAAAATCTTTATTTACAAGAATAAGGGGCGCTGGCCAGTTAGCTTAGTTGGTTAATGTGCAGCCTTGTAATGACAAAGTCAAGGGTTCAGTTTCCCTTACTGGCCAGCCACCCCCAAAATAAATAAAGAGCAGGCTAGGCCATAATTAGCTGGCTCCTGTTATAGATGGACCAAAGAAGTCACTTTTTGGAAAATTTATTTGGGGATAAAGTAAAATTACTAATTAACAAGTAATAGGGCAGTTAAAAAACACTTATCTACCAATGTCCATTCAAAAGTAATAAGCAGGTTTTTTTGTGTATGTGTTTGAATGAATATGCTTTCTCTTAACAGGGTCTGGAAAAACTGCAGCGTTTCTCTTGCCCATCTTGAGTCAGATTTATTCAGATGGTCCAGGCGAGGCTTTGAGGGCCATGAAGGTAAATATTTCTTTATAAAGTGGGAAATTATTGTAAAATTGTGAGAGCTTTCTAAATTATGCTGAGACTTATTCCAGTATTTCTAATTAAAAAGTTTTCAGGTGTAATCTGTAAATTACAAAAGGCGATTGTGTTGTGATGAACTTTTTAGACAGAATGAAGTCTGGCTTGAGGAAGTAACCGCTTGAGCTAAAGCCGACCCGGTGATGAACTTTTTAAAAAGGGTAGTAGAGTTTAACTTATTTATGTCTGTCTCTTAGGAAAATGGAAGGTATGGACGCCGCAAACAATACCCAATCTCCTTGGTATTGGCACCAACGAGAGAACTGGCAGTACAGATCTATGAGGAAGCCAGAAAAGTAAGTATGCATTTCAGTGATTATTAGCTTTCTCACTGATTCTGATGAAATGTTTTATGACCATGTAAAAATCTTTACCTTAAAGTTAATAAAATTTTTTTGCTTATAGTTTTCATACCGGTCTAGAGTTCGTCCTTGCGTGGTTTATGGTGGTGCTGATATTGGTCAGCAGATTCGAGACCTAGAACGTGGATGCCACTTGTTAGTAGCCACTCCAGGCCGTCTAGTGGATATGATGGAAAGAGGAAAGATTGGATTAGACTTCTGCAAGTATGTTAATTCTTATTTTTCATTTTTTGCCAGCTGGCCATTATAAGGATCCAAATTCTTGACCTTTAAGCACCATGCTCAAACCAAGTGAGCTAATCGACCAGCCCAGTATGTTAATTTTTAAATGTGTGGGGTGTAACATTACGTTTTAAAAATTACTGGCCATTAGTTTTGTGGTATTTATTAGCATCGTCTGTATTTTAAGATTGAAAAGTGATCTGTTTTAGTCATCTAACTTTTACAAAAAGTTTGTTCATAATTTCAATGTTGAAAAATCAGTAACATTTTAGTAGAGGCTGGGAATGACCAGACCATTACACAGTCAAGTAGTAAGAGCTAATTTGGCTGTGTGATCTCGGATGACTTATCTGGTGGGAGGAATCCTGTGCTATGTCATTGTCAAATCATGCCATGTGAGGAATTCAACATAATAAATACATAATTGTAATTACATAAAGATACAGCCACACTAAAACCATCTTTTGATTTCTTCTCAAATTCTAAACTCCGTTTTCTTTTCTTTTTTTTTTTTTTTTCTTCATTACAGGTATTTAGTGCTAGATGAAGCTGATCGGATGTTAGATATGGGATTTGAACCTCAGATACGTAGAATAGTTGAACAAGATACTATGCCTCCAAAGGGTGTCCGCCACACTATGATGTTTAGTGCTACTTTTCCTAAGGAAATACAGGTACTGTTTGAGGTTGCAAATTTAATTTATTTAGAAATTTGTTGTATTGCAGTAGATAGTAAAAAAATTATATATTTTTTCTTTCAGATGCTTGCTCGTGATTTCTTGGATGAGTATATCTTTTTGGCTGTGGGAAGAGTTGGCTCTACCTCTGAAAACATTACCCAGAAAGTAGTTTGGGTGGAAGAATTAGACAAACGGTCATTTCTGCTTGACCTCCTAAATGCAACAGGTAAAATTATGAATTAGGCAATAACCCATTTGTTTCACTTATATTACTTTTCCCTCCTTATTTAAAACATTGTTAAAAGTCTATTTTAATTGCTTCTATTTGCATGTTTACTGAGTACAAAGAGAAACTAAGCCGTATAGTGACAAAAACGCTGTAATTTTTAAAATTCAGGCAAGGATTCACTGACCCTGGTGTTTGTGGAGACCAAAAAGGGTGCAGATTCTCTGGAGGACTTCTTATACCATGAAGGATATGCTTGTACCAGTATCCATGGAGACCGATCTCAGAGAGATAGAGAAGAGGCCCTTCACCAGTTCCGCTCAGGAAAAAGCCCAATTCTAGTTGCCACAGCAGTATGTATAATATATCTTATTTTCATTCAAGTTCAGCATGTTCAAATATTTGCTTTCTTTTAAGTGGGCCATAATACAACAGAAGTTATTTTCCAGGTAGCGGCAAGAGGACTGGATATTTCAAATGTGAAACATGTTATCAATTTTGACTTGCCAAGTGATATTGAAGAATATGTACATCGCATTGGCCGTACAGGACGTGTAGGAAACCTTGGTAAGTGTTTGGTCACTTGATGGTCTGATCCTGTTTTTTGTTGTGATGCTTGCAGCAGAGAACTTTAAGGAATCTTAAATATTAGAATCCTTATTTCCAAGGAATGCAATTAAAATATATTTTAATGATAAAAGTGATGGAAGAGTCAGGTTTTGCTCAAAGCACTTTGAGTTGGTTAAATAGCAAGTTGTAATAATTTTTTTTAAGTAAAAAACTGTACAGTAGGGAAACTGTAGGCCTTTATTTATTTACTTTTTAAAAACTTTTAGGCCTGGCCACCTCATTCTTTAACGAGAGGAACGCAAATATTACTAAGGATTTGTTGGATCTTCTTGTTGAAGCTAAACAAGAAGTGCCGTCTTGGTTGGAAAACATGGCTTATGAACACCACTACAAGGGTAGCAGTCGTGGGCGTTCTAAGAGGTGAGAAACAGATGGTGTATAATGAGGGGCATGGCTGTTCACTTATACTTCCCAGCGTTGTTTGCTCTGAGCAAGTAATGTCCAGGGTTAACTTTTCAGTATTTAAGTTAAAAAGCTTAATTTTCTTAGGCTGTCTAAATTCTTTGGGTAAGGGCTATTAGAAAGGGTGACACCAAGGTAGTCTCAGCCTTTCACTGCTAAGGCCTTGAAACCATTATTAGGGGAAATACATGGCTGGGCGGAGAATCGTTTGAATGAAAAAATCAGAAATTGGTCATTGGGAAGTTTTAACAGGAATTGGGTTATTTAGTGGAATTTCATCTTCATGTGAACCAATGTGTGTATTCTTCCCTTGTAGTAGTAGATTTAGTGGAGGATTTGGTGCCAGAGACTATCGACAAAGTAGTGGTGCCAGCAGTTCCAGCTTCAGCAGCAGTCGTGTGAGCAGTGGCCGAAGTGGTGGAGGTGGCCACGGCAGCAGCAGAGGATTTGGTGGAGGTAGTGTTAATTTTTAACCTCTTTGGGAAAGGCTTTTTTCCTTTTAGTCATTTTTTTCAATGCGTAATAAAAGCATTGGGGAAGTTCAGCACTGTAGATTGTGTTTTGTAACGTTACATCAAAGTACTTAAGAGAAGGATTGTTTTTAACCATGGATGACTTAAATTAATTTCTTTTTTAAATCTCTCATTAGGTGGCTATGGAGGCTTTTACAACAGTGATGGATATGGAGGAAATTACAACTCCCAGGGGGTTGACTGGTGGGGTAACTGAGTCTGCTCTGCAGTAGGTCACCCTGCCAAACAAGCTAATATGGAAACCACATGTAACTTAGCCAGACTATACCTTGTGTAGCTTCAAGAACTCGCAGTACATTACCAGCTGTGATTCTCCACTGAAATTTTTTTTTTAAGGGAGCTCAAGGTCATAAGAAGACATGAAAGGAACAATCAGCAGCCCTGTTCGGAAGGTGGTTTGAAGACTTCATTGCTGTAGTTTGGATTAACTCCCCTCCCGCCTACCCCCATCCCAAACTGCATTTATAATTTTGTGACTGAGGATCATTTGTTTGTTAATGTACTGTGCCTTTAACTTTAGACAACTTTTTATTTTGATGTCCTGTTGGCTCAGTAATGCTCAAGATACCAATTGTTTTGACATAATAAATTTACTGAACTTGGGCTAAAATCAAACCTTGGCACACAGGTGTGATACAACTTAACAGGAATCATCGATTCATCCATAAATATTATAAGGAAAAAACTTATGCGGTAGCCTGCATTAGGGCTTTTTGATACTTGCAGATTGGGGGAAAAACAAGCAACAAACGTCTTGAAGCATATTAATGGAATTAGTTTCTAATGTGGCAAACTGTATTAAGTTAAAGTTCTGATTTGCTCACTCTATCCTGGATAGGTATTTAGAACCTGATAGTCTTTAAACAAGCCATTCCAGTCATGATGAGGTGATGTATGAATACATACATTCAAAGCACTGTTTTCAAAGTTAATGCAAGTAAATACAGCAATTCCTCTTTCAATGTTTAGGCAGATGATGAAGTATGAGCTAGCCAAATGTGGGCATACTATTATAGGGAAAGTTTAAAGGTCTGATAACTTGAAATAGGTTTTTAGGAGAATTCATCTACTTAGACTTTTTGAATGCCTGCCATAAATGAAATCGAAATGGTAGAATGGCTGACCACAGCAATGACCAGCCCTCATTAGGGCCCTGGATGATTTTTGGTCTAATAACGCATGCTAGTGTTGATGTTTTTTGGTCAAGATGGTAGGAACAGGAAGAATTATGCAGCAGGCTTTATTTTAAATGCCGATTCACATTACTCTGTTCAAGCTGCGTTGAGATGTTAAACTGGCTTACTATAGACTTTGTAAAAATGGCTCCAGAAGAGTATAACAAACTGAAATCTTTGAGATCACACAGGTTGGAAATATGTACATAACTGCACAAGGTGTCAATTCTGCTCTACAGTGCAGTTTTAGTCAGTTTTAGTTGCATAGGTTTCCATTGTATTTATAGTCTGTTTATGCTAAATCTGGCCAAAGATGAGCATTGTCCACCACTAAAACGCCTCTGCCACTTTGAATTCTGTGCTAATTTTGTGGCCAGAATGAGGTGATCAAAACGCTCAATCTTTTTACAGTGGCATAGGAAGATGGCAAAAATTTCCTAAAGTGCAATAGATTTTCAAGTGTATTGTGCCTTGTTCTAAAACTTTTATTAAGTAGGTGCACTTGACAGTATTGAGGTCATTTGTTATGGTGCTATTTCAATTAGTCTAGGTTTAGGCACTTGTACATTTTGCCCATAACTTTTTACAAAGTACTTCTTTTATTGCACATTCAGAGAATTTTATATATATGTCTTGTGTGCGTGTCCTTAAACTTCCAATCTTATTTTGTCTCTTGGAGATTGTTGAACGCAGCTTGTCTAGGAAGGGGATGGGACTAGATTCTAAAATTTATTTGGGACCATGGGAATGATAGTTGAGAAGAAAACTTTGCACACGACAGATTTCTAGATACTTTTTGCTGCTAGTTTTATGTAATATTTATTGAACATTTTGACAAATATTTATTTTTGTAAGCCTAAAAGTGATTCTTTGAAAGTTTAAAGAAACTTGACCAAAAGACAGTACAAAAACACTGGCACTTGAATGTTGAATGTCACCGTATGCGTGAAATTATATATTTCGGGGTAGTGTGAGCTTTTAATGTTAAGTCATATTAAACTCTTAAGTCAAATTAAGCAGACCCGGCATTGGCAGTGTAGCCATAACTTTCTGATGTTAGTAAAAACAAAATTGGCGACTTGAAATTAAAACATGCCAAGGTTTTGATACACTTGTCTTAAGATATTAATGAAACACTTCAAAACACTGACACGAAGTGTCCAGATTCTCAGATGTTTGTTGTGTGTGTTTTGTTTAGTTGTGTGTATTATTATTATTTTTTTCCAGTGAATGTCTGGCACATTGCAATCCTCAAACATGTGGTTATCTTTGTTGTATTGGCATAATCAGTGACTTGTACATTCAGCAATAGCGTTTGAGCAAGTTTTATCAGCAAGCAATATTTTCAGTTATTAAATATTTCAAAAATCATTTGAGTGGATTTAAACTTGCTGAATGTAAAGATTGAACCTCAAGTCACTGTAGCTTTAGAATCATCGATTCATCCATAAATATTATAAGGAAAAAACTTATGCGGTAGCCTGCATTAGGGCTTTTTGATACTTGCAGATTGGGGGAAAAACAAGCAACAAACGTCTTGAAGCATATTAATGGAATTAGTTTCTAATGTGGCAATTCAGCAATAGCGTTTGAGCAAGTTTTATCAGCAAGCAATATTTTCAGTTATTAAATATTTCAAAAATCATTTGAGTGGATTTAAACTTGCTGAATGTAAAGATTGAACCTCAAGTCACTGTAGCTTTAGTAATTGCTTATTGTATTAGTTTAGATGCTAGCACTGCATGTGCTGTGCATATTGATTTTATTAAAATAAAAAGTTGAACTGCACAGTCTCCTTTGTTGTTGTCAATTGTGGTTTATTTTTGGAGGTGAAAATAAAGTTGTGCTCTTGCCTGAATTGTAAAATGTAATTTTTTGGTTGCCATTGAGTTATTTTTTGAGATTCCTCTTGGAGACAAACACTCTGGTACCATAATTATTTGTAATAAAAGATGAAAATGGTGTTAGTTTGAAACAGTGAAACAGGATTTCTGTAATAGATGGAAATCTAAAAGGCCCTTAGTGATATGTAGCATATATTACAAATTGGTTTATACTTTAAGCAACTTAAGGGTGAGAGACTCCTTGTTCTCTGAAGTGTTTGATGTGAAGGAGGGTTGAACAGTAGAACAATGAATTGGGTCAAGTATATTAGTGATCTGAGTAATGGTAAGTATGTACATGGGGGTCAGGGTGATAACATCCATTGTTACCACACACGCTGGCACAGCCGCTACCGGTTAACATGCAATGGTATGGAAGCCATAACTGCATATATGTTAACCTCTAGGGTAGAGGTTAGGTTGAACCATGTGAAAGCTATTCTGTTTTTATAGGTTGGATATGATCAAATACTGGTTTAACCTGATGAAAGTATGCATATTCAGCTTTTGTTTCACTTTGAGTTCTAGGTTTGCAGTATTAAGTTTTTTGCACTGTAAGGAAATACTTTGTTCTGGATAATTACCATTTTCAGAGTCATGGCCTCAAAATAGCAAGCCTAAGGTTTTAGGGCAGAATTTTGAAGCATAATATGCCATAATGATTTTGGAGATAGAAAAGAGGAAAGTAGGTGAGTCTGAATTCAGTCAAAAGTGTGGAGAGGTTGTGTTAGGATTGCTAGATTGAGAAGTAGCCGAAGGTGACTCATGGAGTGAAACTGGATTCTTAATTCAAGGTCCCCTTTATATGTTATGAGAGGAGTGAACACTCAAGATAATCTTGGGATGGGCCGGCCCGGTGGCGCACTGGAGAGCGCGCCGTCTGGGAGCGCGGCGGCGCTCCCACCGAGGGTTCGGATCCCATGTGGAGACCGGTTCCTGCTCACTGGTTGAGTGCGGTGCGGGCACAACGCCGAGGGTTGCGATCCCGTTACCGGTCAGTAAAAAAGACAAAAAAGGAAAAAAAAAAAAAAAAGAATCTTGGGGAACTACCTAAATTTTTAACTATTTGAGATTATTTATAGTCTAGCAGGGTTAGGAGTATAACCCAAGTTTATTATGTTTGCATACTGCTACATTAATTTCTGTGGTTTAGTTTTAGTTATATATATTTAAATACCTAAATGCTGTTGTCACTCTTCTGCACTGTTAATATATATCCTAGGGTGTTTTTTTTTTTTTCTTCTTAATTGCTATTTATTTCCTGGGTTCTTAATCTCAGCTGAATTTCAATTCAAAAATTTTTAATGGCTTTATAGGAGCTGTGTTTTCACATGTTTGAAAATACCTCATGTCTTTATGCTTAAACAATTGTAAGTTTTGTGTTTCCCGTGCCCTCAGTTCTAAGTGACCTGCTTGAATACCCACAGGCTGCTCTTGGAAGCTCAGTTACCTATATTGGTATTGACAAGTCTCACCTCCTCCCCACCTGAATGCATAGGTTTCATTCACTGGATACAAGGCTTTGGAAGTTCTTATTTGGGTTTTGTGTTTTCCTGTTCCATTCTATTCTCATTGAACACAATTCTGGGTGTGTTTAAACCAGCTTTGCTTCATATCTTACTCTCTTCAGTTTACAATCTGTTTTTCAGCATATTGTCTATTATGTCTAATGTGGTTTTCCTTTTTATAATGGCTTCAAATTCTTACCTCATTTTCAACATTGATGTTTTTTTCTCTGAGTTTTCACTACAAACTGGGTTGCCTTCAGGAAAATTCTGAAATAGAACTTTTGACACGGAACACTATGTTTAATTATATTATGGGAGGACATTTTGTGACCTGGAAAGATGTTTATTATGAGAAAAAACCTGAAACAGACCAACACAATTTAAGAGCAGGAAATAGATGTTTCAAAACAAGAGTTAAACATATGACTCAGCAATTCCACTCTTAGGAGAATTCTACCCAGGAGAAATGAAAACTTAACTCTGCGACTTAAATTTGTATTTATATTTGTATGCAAATGTTTATGGCTGAGTAACTGGAACCAGAAAGTGGAAACAACTCAAATGTCCATCAACTGGTGAATGGACAAACAATGCACTTACATGAAATGGAATGCTGTTTGGTAATAAAAAGGGATGAGACACTGATAACTTCTCACCATCCTCTGGGGGACTGAACCACATCCCTGATTTCTTTCTCCCTCTTCAAAGGGTCATCAGGTGGGCCTGCCACTAGTCCTGATTTTATTGTATTTAAGAGATAACTGTCATGGTTTATAATTTAGGGTTGTTACTGTTTTCCTTGTTACTTTGAGGACATTTTATTTCTTGTGATAAGTAGAGTAAAATGCCTCATATCTTTTGCTGGAAATATCCTCCATTCTTCACTTTTTCACTATTACTCTGTTCTCAACAGCACATCTGTATTACCTAACATCAGTCAATTAGTGGTATGCAGAATGGTCTCTGAAGTTCCACTCCTGACCCCAGTCATCAGGATCTTTCAGTGCAAGGCAAAGGTTGATGTAGGGTTCATTCAAAACCTGATTTGGGTGTCTCCTTGAGTGTTGGGCTTTGGGAAATGTAGTGATGAGTTCAGATTTGTCCTTTCCCTCTTGGAGCCCAGTTGGCTTTCTTTTGTGGTTCCTCAATTTGGTGCTGCAATGGAAGTACCTGGGAAATAGGGCTGGCCCATGGCTCACTTGTTAGAGCGTGGTGCTGACAACACCAAGTCAAGGGTTAAGAATCCCTTACCGGTCATCTTTTAAAAATATTTTTTTAAAAAAATTTACCTGGGAAATGATTCTAGGTTGACTCCTAACAGAATCTCCTCTGGGGGTTTGATTTTTGGTTTTTGCCTTTGTTTTTATCCCTAAAGCTCCTCCGGCAATTCTGATGCAGCAAACTTAGGTATGGAGTCCACTGTTCTCTACCCTTTTATCATCTGTTCCAAACTTCCAATTGCCGTTATCATTTTTCTGGTTCTTACAGAAGAATATATTCCAAATTCTAATAGATACTGGAACCAAATTAATGGTATCCAAGTGGCCCTTATGGTGTGGTACTAATCTGCCATTGCTGCTTTAACTTATTTCCCATACCTTATATAGTAGCCAAATGTGATGCTATTGTCTAGACACACCCTGTGCTTTCTTCCACCTCTGCCTTAGTTTTTGCTCACACCTTGTTCCTTCTAACTAGAATTGGACCTAAATTAATGTTTTAAAATAATTTTATGTTACATACTGTACTTAAAATATTAAGCTGCCATTTACAATTACTTAGTGATGTGGAGAAA